TTGACAATACTTTTAATTATTTATTAGACAACTGTCAAGGTCTGAGGCAGTATAAAAGGCTTTTCCTTAGCATTACGGACACAGCTGTAATCAAATCTTACTTATGCAATTGGGAAAAATAAAAACCCTGTCAAGGAAATTCTGAACAACACATTTTCAAGCAAGAATAAATAATTTCTTTATAAACATATAACAAAATTTATTTATTACTGTTTCAATATCAAACTAGCACAGAAAAGAAACAATCCAAAATTCCCTCAATTTTTCTGGTAGAAAGCATTCAAATTCCTTATTAACCTCCAGATGCCAGTAGCTTACACAGGATTTCTTTTCAAGGACCACGCAGTCCTCAGTAAGTGGTACAGAAATGTTATTGGGAGCGAACACGAGGCCTTGTCCTTTCTGGACTGCTGCTGCGGTAACACAATGGTCGGCAGGAGAAATATGAACTAAATTGCTTCTCTCTTCAGGAATGGCTTTATACAAATAGCACAGGTTGGGAGAAAAAGGAAGAAAAAGATTTTGCTTTAAATTGTGTTATTTGACTGCCTGCTCACATCCAGAACTGAAAAAAACCCCAAACCCCAACAACAGAAAAAACGAGGAGAGAGAAGAATGAGCTCCTTAAAAAATGTAAAAGGGTACATTCCTATTGTACTGTAGTTGGATCTTTAGGGTATGGCTTGCTTATCATTCACACGAGAGAAAAATGAAAGGAATCGGTTGCTAACATAGAAATGAGATCTATACTTACAGCGGCGAGGTGTTCCCCCACCCCTCAACAATTATCCCTTCGATAAAGGAAGAGCACTGCCTGGGGAGGAGAGGAGATAAGAGGGACAAACGGGAACCTCTGAAATGTGCTTATTTTACATATGTGGTCTTACTATGTCTGCGAAGCATTTCTGTAAAAAGAAATGCATATCAAAGTGGAAAAAAAAAAGTGAAATACTGTAAAAAGTGAAATATTGTAAAATACAGCTTTTTAACTGCATTAGACATAATTTCCAGATTTCCGTAGACCAAGTAGGCCTGGGCTGCCTCTTCATGTTAACCTAAGATCATAACTTTGGTGTCAGACTGCAAACAAAAAATGGCACAAGATTTTTTTAAGAGTCCACGAATTGGAAGAAGCGGCTTACCCATCTTCTGTATACATTAAGGGCACAGCAGTGCTTCACGTGCTCTTCTTAAAAACAGACACTGCTCCCAAAGGACCCAGTGGTGAGGCAGGGCAGCTACAGGATGAGAAGAGCAGCAGCGGTGGTGAGCAGAAGGTTGAAGCAGCACGGCAAGGGGAGCACGGAACAGAAGCCCCAAAGCTCTGGCAGCCTGACTCGGGCCTCGGTGCCTCGCGGCACTCCGCGGTTCCCAAAAGTATGGGAGGGTTTAGTGCAGGAGTGGGGAACGGTCAGCTGGCCGAGCTGCTGCCTTGCCACAGTGGACTGCAAAATTATTACTGTTATACATAAGGAATTAGCCCTTATACGTTACTTGTTTATCTTTAATAAAATATTGTTTGCTGAGTCAATTCATTTGCAAGAATGAAAAATGAGCTCAGTGCTCTTGAGATGAATTCTTGCCAGTATCGAGGCATTTTACTAGACAGCACTTCATATTTCGACCCGGCCCTTGCTGTTGGCCACTGCGTCCCAGCAGAAAAGGTGCATTGTACAGATAACCGTTGGAACAATCCACCTCTGCTTATGATAACTTTTACATCACTCATTTCATTTTGGTTATTTTAAATCAAGACACTGTGCTTTATCTTAAATATGCGCATTTTCTCAATCCACAATTAATTCCTAAATCTTATAGCCTGTGCTTTAATGAACATTAGAGTAGCGTCCCTGTCCCTCACCTTTTTCATCCGATTGAAATGTTAAAAATGCAGCCTCTGAATTTCCAACATACGCATTGCGGAGTGAAAATAGTGTGTTGGGGGGAAGTCATTGCTTTAAAATACATCATGAGGTTAACCAGTGGCATTGCTGTGTTTCAGCCGAAGGGTGACTGCATATGAACTCTGAAAAGTAAATTGTCTGAAGGCTTGAACAAACACTTCACAAAAATAAGTAAGAATATTTTTTTTTTTTTAAATCTATGGCTTTTAACACTTGCTGCAAGTTCTACAATGGCTTGGTGGGCAGAAAGACTCATTCTACCCCCTTTCCTACTTCATTAAGTCTAGAAAAAAAGGAAGAAAAAAAAAGACTATGCTATTTGCTACGTCCAGTGCCGCAGTGTACAATGCAAGATAAGCAGCAACACATGCTGTTGTGATAGGAGTTGCTCTATCACTACAGCAGAGCAGCAATATCCTCAGTAGCATTCTGCAGCCTGCGCTGAATCTAATCATAACTCTGTAGCCAAGGGATGCACAGTACATCTTCTATTTAGTCTAACTACTTATCACCAAATGCCACAGCCACCGGAATGCTTTTCTCATTTAACATTAGAACAGGCTGGCTGTAGACCATTAATCAGAGCCAAACACGGAATGAGCAAGCATGTGAGAAACAGAACTCAACCATAAAAAAGGCTTCGCAGTTTGGTTTAGTAAGTGAACGATGTGCTAGGATAACAAGGACCTACTACGGAACAAGATTACCTGAAAAAAACTCTACTAATAGTGGTAAGGTGTTTGTTTCAGTGCTTAAATAAATGAATTCACACAAACTGCATCAAGAATGGCATTCTAATAGTCTCTAGTACCAGTGGGTCTTCTATAATTAATGCACCTGTCCAAGCTGATCTCTTGGAAAAGCTCAACCTAAGGTGTTACTAACACGGTATATGCAGGGACTAAACAGCTCCACAAAGTTAATGCAACATTACAGTTGGCAGAGGTACAGTTTTAGAAAGCCCAGAAATACAAAATGACAGGGTTCTAACAGCCGTAATTAACACGAGACTTTTCCCTCCCACTCTTTTTTTCTTCATTCTAAGAAGTGTTCTAACCATGTGCCGCTTGCTGCACACCGTCACAGCAAAACAAACAGGATGTTCCATGGAACGAATCTATTAATAAGAGTCGTTTAATATTTTTCTTTTCTTTTCATGCATTCAACCTAAACTAGCTCTAGCAGCTGGCTTTGTGGCTGTTGCACAAAGAAGATGAAATAATGTGTAACGATGAATGTAGCCATGTATGAGTCAACACTGTGCAATAGCGTAGTCGCTCTCGCACCAGAGGCACTACTCCACAACGCGTATCCTACAGAGAAAGAATACACGAGCTCTCACAGCTCCCACCAATTTAAATCTATCACATAAGACCCCCACCAGAAAAAAATAATAAATCCATTCTTACATATGGAGATAATAAACATTGCCCGTTAAAGCTGGAGGCAGACCCAGGAGCAAGAGCTATGCCACCTGACTGCCCAGCCGGTGCCTCGGTGCCACGGCCACCCTTCTGCCTTCTGTAAAGCCGAGGAGAGTGTTCATACAAGCAGAGTTTGCACGCTCAGGGCCAAGAAGGAAACTTCCTCAGGTAGTGTATATGCATTTTATTGCTTTTTCAGGTCCACTTGGATCCATACATTATAAAATACAGTGCCATATTTCTCAGATTATTATTAGTTTAATATGAAACTGATGGTGAATATGCAAATAATTACCTGGCTTAATAAAGAAACAGACAACCTCACCCCCACAAACTCCAGAGATCCTAAAGGAATCCTCAAGGTGAGCAATATAAGCCCAGGGAACTGGACTGCCATGTTAAGATAGAGCGCGGTGCAGTTATGGCAGATAAACGACTGAAACTGAAGTTATGTCACATTCTTGGGATTGGTCTGACTAAGTCTTTCTGCTTTATTTAAAACGTAACACACTTTTATACCAGGCCCAAAGTAACACTTTGAATCTCAATGCTCTTTTTCCCTTTTCATGTTCTCTTTTGGCAAATCAGCCACATTCCTCTTCTGAAAGCTGTTTCGGTACTGCAAATACTGCTGCACATCTCACCGCTACCGCCCTTCCCAGCGGCTGCCCTCCCCTCTTCTTACAAGATGCCACTAATGCTGCAATCATCAATATTGCCTTTTATCCTGCATTCTGTGGTTCGAAACACATTCTTCATTTGAAAGAGCCTTACAACTGACTGACGTTCTTGTGGTAAGAAGTAGACTTAATGCTTGACCTGCCGCGAGCACAGCTCTCCACAGCCCTTTGCCTCCCTTGCCACTGATTCCCCTCCTGATGAATAGCTGGAGTCCAATTCCTGCCAAATATTTTTCAACTCCCCGACACAAATTTGAGTAAATTTCCTGTAGTAAAGCTGACTGAAATTTCTAGTCAATATATGCTGTGGAACCAAGCAGAGGCAGATGTGGAGACTCAAAAAATCACCTTCAGCCACGAACCGAACAGATTTTCAACTAATTAGTTTGAAATATTTTCTGTTCAAAAGGATAACTCATCACTTACAGAACACAACTAAATATTTATCCCAAGGCCCACACTT